TGAGAGAGAGAAAAGAAATTTTTTTTTTTTTTTTTTTTTTTTTTTTTTATTGCGGCTTGAGGAATGCCAGTTAGAAAACTTTTTGATTTAAATCGCTGGACATTTGAGTTGTCTTTTTATTTTTATTTTATTTTATTTTGTCTATAAGATATAAACCTAAATACATTAGAATAATACAAGTACTAAATACATCATAAAAATGCAAAAACACAGCGAGTTTTTGTATTGCTAATAGAAATACTAAATTAGCCATTATAATATGTAAATACTAAATAAATATACCAACCATAATTGATGACTTTTAAATTGATTTTTTGTATATTGTCTTTATAAAATATCAACCTACAAAGTTTTTAAAGAGTTTAAGATAATCTTAAAATACTCGATTAAATTATTAATATTATATTATATTAATATATGCTGTACAGGGTATTTCGAGGTTGATCACCCGATTTTAATTGCTCTAATTCCTCATGACACAGCAATTTTTTGCCTGTCGCTTGTTGGCTAGATCGCTGTAACCGTTATAAGTACAGGCTAGTCTCTTAACCATATCGATAACATATTAAATATGCATTCATATGTATTTTTCTACTCTCTCGCTCTATCTCTTGACAGCATCTAACGGCACTCTGCGTCATCAGCATTGCACTCACCTGCGCCAATGCGGCGCTGTGGCCCAGCTTTAGCAGCGGCAGCAGCAGCAGCAAAGCGGACGATGCGCCGCCCAGTAAATGCGTCGGCGCGCGTGGTCTGAAATATTTATCTGGTGATGCGTTGACAGATTCACTAGACTGCCTGGGTCCCAATAATGCGCCATATCCAAGGTATTTACACATATACATACATATGTATATACAACAAAAAGTGTGTGTGTGTGTGTGTGTGAGTTGAGTGTGTCATTCATTGACAACTCATTACGCTTCGGTCACAATGCAAAACTTTCTTTTCTAACGCCTCTGCCTATCGCTTTGCTTCGTCTATCGATTGCAGCGCGGCCGTTGCGCGTACATTCTCCAATTGGAACGGAAATTCGCGACGTGGACGTCAAAGTAAATTGCCCAGCACATTGGATCCAGCAATAACCACGAGTGCACTGTTGAGGGCCTACGATGAGGTAAACAATGAGGCTATCGGAAGCAGTCGTTATGGTAAGTCGGTCAGCCGCAAATCAGCTAATGCTAATGGTTGTGTGGCCGCCATTGATTGAATGACTGACTGGCTGATTGATTGATTGTTTGRCTCTCTTTTGCTGCAGGTCGCTCGCTAAAGAACGCATCGCCGGCACAACAGTGCAAGAGCGACACGCCAGCGCGACTCTGCAAGACGCGCTACAACACAACTGCACCCATGTATGGCGTTAGCTTGACCTCTGGTCAGCCCGTGACAATTGTACAAAAATTTCCCGATCTTCTGCAACAGGTGGTCTTCGAGGTGTGCGAGTGAGTATTAAAATTGCAAATATTTACTTTTTAAAGCCGTATTTTGGCGCTCCATTAAATCAAAGTATATGTCAAGCGCTGCCAGACTGTTGATTTGTATTTAATTGCATTTATCACAATAAATTAATTAAACCAGCTTTTGGGAAAGCCCTTAGCGTCTAAGGTGAAATATTTGCATATGTAGCGTTGCCAGACTAATGAGCTTTATTTATTCAAATTAACGTCAAGCTAATTTGCTGAAATGACAGTTTAAATTTTTGCACAAACTAATTAACATTTAAAAGCTGAAATTTATTATGATAAATGAACAATGAAACTTTTGGAATTTTTCGTATTTTTGCATATATATAAAGCTAAATTACATTAAGAAATAAGATTAATATTGCTTCATTTTTCTGCAGATCCTCTGAATGCGATGTGGTGCGTGGCGAATGCACGCAAACGTATGTGCCTTATTTATTCCTGGTCATACCCCTTGGACCAGTGACGCTCACTGGCCAGGATTATGTGCTCGTTGAGAGCGGTTGTGTGTGCAAACCGAAATATTCGACGGGCGCTGCTCAAGAGCCGAACATGATACCGTAAGTGGGATGGAGAGTGTACTTGACACTGGTATACAACAGCAACCAAAAGAACTGAGCGAGTTTATGGGGATGGAGCAGCTAAATTTACTTAAATTTGGAATTATTTTTTGTAGCAAAATCGTATTTTCAATGGTTTTTATATGCTTTTCGTTTGTCTCTCTTCATACACATAATGCTGTTAGAATGAAATAGGCTTTTGCTCGAAAAATAATACTTAAATTAAGTTTTAAATTAAAATAATTCGAATAAATTATTTAAAATTACAATGAAGAAACTTCCTCGGCAGATTAATTTATTTTATTTGTGCTAAAAAGAAAAGATAATAAGAGACAAATGATGCAAAACACGTAGTTTAAACGGCATAAACAGATTTAGTTCATAATTACATATAATAAATTAATTATAACAAGCCTTTTTAACGTTTTGTTAACATTTATGTGTATGTACTAATTTTAAATTAAATAAATTATTTAAATAAACAATTTAATTGAAATAGATTTGATATCATTCGATAAGCGCAGTCAAATATCTTTAACGGTCTACTTTTTGAACTGCAATTTAATGGCAAATCGAGTGCGATACATTTATCCTATACAAGGTGAGTTTCTGCGGTGAAGTATCGCTTGCGCATCAAAGTCACCACTATCGATACGATGTAGCGCAAAGTGCATGCGCTGCCGCTACAACTATCGCTCATCACTCTGCCTGCCGTGTATCGTTTTGCTTCGTCTCAGCACTAGCTACACGCATAAATTTTTAGCGAAAATTTAGAAAACGAGCAAACAGAAGCTAAAAAAAGTGCAGCGAGTGTAAATTGGCATACAGTTTAACAATTACATTGTGTAATTACACTGATTGCATAGTTATTTTCGTGCATTTAGCGCCGCATACTTAATCGCCCCGCACTCGCACTAACACACACGCGCTGAGTGTTTTGTGTGTGTGTGTGTGTGTGCCCGTGTGTACATGTGCATGTGTGTGTATAGGTGACAATTTTGTTGCGTGGTGCCGGGTTACAGTTAAATATTACAGAATTTTTGTTGATTTGCGAGCGCGCGCATATAACTGTGGCATGAAATAAAAACAACGCCATTTAGCCGGCACAGTTAAAATCATTTAACGCTAGCGTGTGTGCAACTGATTTCAGCCTCAAAATGATGTTCACGGTACGTTGTTGTTACGCCTTATGTTCGTTTATTCCAAGGGGTGCTTCAATTGCGCTGCCCAACAAACAATCGATAAACGGCGCTGCAAAACTGCAAGCCACAAGAGAAAAAGAGAGCAAAGATAAATTGAGAGAGTACCTACATATTTTCATGATCAGCAATGCTTTATGCTGAGCTTTAGCAAACAATGCTTACGCTCTTCTTTATTTGTCTCTTTTATTCGCAAGAATTAATTTATCATTAAGTGTGGAATTCATTGGAATATGCGAAATAAATGCGAACATAATATGGCATTTATTGAAAATTGCACTCAAATAAAATATATATTTTGTATTTTATTTATTTTCATTTTTGTTTTTGTTTTGGGTTTTTTTATTGTTATTTTCAGGGCACCAATCAGCAGCAGGACACGCGCTTCAGCGACAAGGAAAAGAAGCTGATGAAGCAAATGAAATTCGGTGATTGCCTCAATAAGCGTGTTGACATGTCGAAAGTTAAGCTCGATGTGCTGCGCCCTTGGATAAGTAAAAAAATCACTGACATTCTGCACATTGAGGATGATGTCGTTGTTGAGTTTGTTTACAATCAGCTGGAGGAGGAGAAATATCCGTGTCCCAAAAAAATGCAAATCAACATGACCGGCTTCCTCAACGGCCGAAATGCCCGCCAATTTATGGGCGAGCTGTGGGCGCTTCTGCTCTCCGCTCAGGAGAGTGACAGCGGAATTCCTGCAGAGTTTATACAGCAGAAGAAGGATGAGATACTCAAGCGTGAGGAGGAGCAGCAGCAACAGCAAAAGCAGCGCCAGCAACAGCAGCGTCAGCGTGATCTCTCACGCTCTCGTTCACGCTCCAGATCCCCATCGCGCTCACGGGATAAGCCGCGACGCCACGACAGATCCAAATCGCGCTCCCGCAGTCGTTCGAACTCCAAAATGGCAGCAGCCTCCAATAACGGCGGCATTCCTGCGGTGCCCATCAACAGTGCTGCCCGCGAGGCGGCCGCAAATGCAGCTGCTCGCCTACGCAAACGCGGTGGTGGTGGTGCTGGAGGAGGCGGCGGCTCACCCAGTGCAACGGGAGGCGGAAGCGGCGGCGGTGGGACAGCAGGAGCTGCAGCAGGCTCAGCGACAGGTGGCAGCGGTGGACGTGCTACATCGCGAGAACGTCGTGGTAGTCGCCGGCGCTCACATTCCCGCTCTCGTTCCAACCGCTCGCCGCAACGAGCAGCCTCCACAGACGCTGGAGGCGCTGCTGTCAAGACTTTAAATGGACGCCACTCGGTCCAGAAATCATCGCCAGCCCTTGCATCCAAATCCAAAACAAAGGCCAAATCGCGCTCACGTTCACGCTCGCGTTCAACGCGCAGTCGCTCCAGGTAGATAAGCTCAATGAAGGCCAGATGAGAGGTGTTGATAGACATAGGAAGTGGGAGTTCTGGAGTAATAGATTGTTTCCAGTACAGAACACATGTTTATAAATATTTATATGTAATATAGTCGTTCCTTAATAAGAAAATGTTTTCCACCTATGCAATTGTCATCATCGCTAGACTTAGTTCTCAAGATCTAAATGAGCATTTGTATATAGAATGAGCAATTGTATATATAGAACCTATGTCAATCAACAACTAGATCTAAATATTGTCTTGACAATTAATAATTCTAAACCATGAATTATGTTGGATAAAATGCTTAGTAAAACCATATAGATGCACGGGATCTAACCGTGATTTTCGTGTATTAACATCATCACAATTTGTACTTTTTTGAAACAATGATGATAAGACATTGATTCCTTGATTTCTTCATTTGTTATCAGTAACCCTATATTATCTCAGATAAATAATATTCAGAGAGCTCTCAAGACGTTTTAGTATATCAACATCTCGGCAATGTCTAAGTATTTGATACGATAATTATAATAGCTTTACACCTTTATATCAAAATCTAAAATCATCTTCCTTGAAGCTACATATATTTATATTTACTTAATTCCTTTACAGATCCCGAAGCGGAGGCAAAGGCTCGCCAAAGGCACGTTCTCGTTCGCGCAGCTCCTCGCGCTCCTCGGCGCGCAGCAATCGGCGTCGTCGCAGCTCGCGTTCGCGTGCCAGCAGCATTTCGCTGTCGCCGGAACGCCAACAGGATCAACAGTTTGAGCATCGACGCAACAAGAACAGCGTGCAGAATAAGCGACAATATCGCAGCAATCGTGATGATTCCGCCAGCTCCATTGAGCGAGGCGATGGACGTGCCAGGCAATTCGGTGGCGGTGACAGAGGTGGGGGTGGCAGACGACCGCCGCCACATGGCAGACGCTTCTCGCCGCGCGGACGCAGTCCCATGCGCCAGGATAATGGCGGTGATAGACGTTTTCAGCGCTCCAATTCGCGTCGTCGTTCGCGCTCCCGCATGTTATCCAGATCGCCGATGCGCTACTCCAGATCACCCAGGCGGTAAGAATATATTTTAATAAATATGTGTTAATAAATGTTTGTTTGATAGTAACGAGATAGTAGATAATATCGTTCAGGATTAAGAGATTACTTCTGTTATTTTAATATGTTTAGCCTATAGATGATATTTTATGTATGTCTAAGTATACATAGGTCTGAGTTCTGTTAATTACTAAATTTAATAGGAACTATTGACTGAAACCCAAATAATTTTAGCCGTAAAAAAAAAGAACCATTGGATAAAATTCCATATTTAAATCAAAGATTTACGAGCATATAAAAGAATGTGTATGTATATATTTTTACCATTTTATACTTCCTCTGATAGAGGAAGAGAAGATGATAGCATAAATCTAAATCATAGGGATATTATAGTCTTAATTGTCCCAAAATGCTTTTAGGATTGCTCTAATTCTTTTCAACTATTGTTTTATTTATTTATTATTTAAACGTTTGCTTTACCATTTTATATATAATTTATACAAGCGTTCTTCAATCAATTAATTAGTTTAGGAATTATAGATGACATTTCATGTATTACAGTTAGCATAGGCTGGTATAACTGGACTTGTCACTCGTCTGTCTCCTGTCAGTTGTCAGTTGTCTCAATTGTCTGCAGACATCGATACTTTGCAGTCGATGTAATCGATGCTAGCTGTCTCTTAGTTGCTGTCATATCTATCTAGACTCTTCTCGATTTATATTGAGAGTAAAGTTGACTAAATGCCATTTTTTTCGCATCATCGTTACAACAGATTTAATAATCGCCGACGTTCGCCGCCGATGCATTTCCGCGGTGGCGGAGGCGGTGGAGGAGGAGGAGGCGGTGGTGGTCGTGGTGGCGGCGGTGGAGGTGGTGGCAGAGGTGGCGGCGGCAACCACCGAAATATGTGGCAGCAGCAATACCGTGGCGGCAGTCCCAATCAGCGGGGCGGCGGCGGTGGACGGATCCACTGGCAGGCCAGGCACAATAGTCCCAATGGCGGGCGGCGCTTCGATCGGCGTCAGTCGCCGCCGGGTGGTGGTGGTCAGCGTCGTTATTCGCGGGATCGCCGCCAGTCACCCGGACCGGGCGGTCCACAGCAGCAGCAGGGACAACAGTTCCGTAAGCAGTTCTCGCCTGGACGTCGCTTCGATCGGCGTGGCTCGCCGCAGGGCAACTACAATCGCTGGGATCAGAATCATCCCGATCAGCGCCAGGCCATGCGCAGTCAACAGCAGCAGCCGCAGCGCATGCGTCGCTCCAGCTCGGGCAGCGCCAGTCCCGTTGCTGCACGCCGCCAGCCGCAGCGCAGCGTCAGTCCATTGGCCAGGAATCGTAGTCGTAGCCGCAGTCGCTCCAGCGGCCGACCCTCGAAGCGCAGTCGCAGCCGCAGTCGCTCCAACTCGCGACCTCAGCAGCGACGTCGTCCCAGTCCCGCAGCAGCAGCGCGTCGTTCCGTTGAGTTTACCGGGCCGACTGTCAACACCATTGATCTCTGTCGTGAAGAGCCGCCGCAGCCTCTGGAGCAGCATCTAGAACAGCAGCCGCCGCAGCGCAAATTCGAGTCACAGCAGCCAGCGCAGCTCCAGCCACCGGCCGCGCGGTCGCAGTCAGCGCGGCGCAGCTTAGCCAGCCTCTCGCGCACACCATCGCCGTTCCTTAAGTCGCACGAGCGCAACGCTGCCGCAGCACCAAAGAAGGCACGCGACAACAGCCAGAGCAGCAGCTCGGACAGCAGCGCCGATGATAGCGACGACAGCGAGGATGAGCGGCGGACGACGAAGAAGCAGCAGCAGCGCCAACGGTCGCGTCGTTCGACCCATAGCGGCAAAAGCAGCTCAAAGGCAGCAAAAGCTTCGGCGGCCGAGCCGAGTAAAAGCTCTAGCAGCAAGGCCAAGGCCAAGTCGCGCAGCTCGGGCAGCAGCAGCAGCAGCGAGCGCAGCGACGACGACGATGACGACAGCAGCGATGAGCGCCACAAGAAGTTGCAGCTGAAGCGCAGAGAGGAAACGACTGCTAGCCGAAGTGAACGGGAGAGGGAGAGGGAGAAGGATAAGGAGAAAGAGAAGCGTCGCAGCGGCGACAAGAAAGTACGGCGCAGCGCGTCCAGCGAGGAGAGAGTGCCGACAGAGAAGCAGCGAAGCTTGGACAGAAGTCGCAAGCGAAGTCATAAGAAATCCCGAAGAGATGGCAGCGCCGGCAGCGACTCGGAATACGAACGTTTGCCTAAAAAGAAACGCAAGAAGTCAAAGAAAGCGGCCGATAGCAGCGACAGCGATTCGGCCTCTGAGGACGAGTCGACGTCGAAGAAGCGTAAACATAAGAAACATAAGAAGCACAGCAAGAAGAGCAAGAAGCATAAGAAGCATAAGCGAAAGAGCAGCAGCAGTGCCAAGCATAGGCAGGAGAGCAGCTCGCAGAGCAGCGGCGACGAGGATGATGAGCAAGCGCATGCTACGATGAGGGGTGCAGGCAAACGGAACGGTAAACTTCCGTTGATGATAACTGGCGGCCCTGGCATCAATGAGGATCTGGAGAAGCAGCTGCGCGAGCGTGCGCTCAAATCAATGAAAAAGTTGGACTGAGCAACGGCAACACCTACATCATCATCAACAGCAACAAACGGCTACGAAATAGCTGAAGAGGAAGCAGAAAGCAATTGATTAAATATATAATATAATTGAGAAAAGGAATGAAGCTCTAACAAATTGCGCTCCCTCATTGCAGTTAAATGCGACAAGCGACACACAGACTTTTGGACGAACAGATGCGTAGCCATTTAAACACTAACGTAACATTCATATTTACCATACATTAATATTTCTAACAACTTATTTCATACTTTTAAGTCACATTGCGCGTCGAACCTAATACAACAAAAATCCGAATTCGTGCATGCTAAATACAATTTGTATTATGTACAAAAATGCAAGAAATTTCTCAACACAAACCATATAAAAAGAAACTTTAATAACAAATAAAAGGCCATTGTGCTTTACTCAAAAAAAAAAAAAAAAAAAATCCCTATAAAAATTCATGAATCGAACTTCAGAATAAAGTTTGGTTAGGCATGTTGCTACAGTTGGCAATAATGTTTGCTTAGAACACTACCGTTTAATGTCTAAGTAGGTTTTACAGATTATAATTAATGATACATAAAACGAAACTTGCGTGCGTTTGAGAGCATTATTAAAGTAATAAATATATAAAAAAAAAAAGGAAACATAAACACATGTAAAAGATACGTTTCGGCATTTTAAATTCCAAAATACTTGGCGCGCTCTGTGCAACCCTTAAGATACTATTATTTGACACTACTCTTTTACGCTACTATGGTCACACTCAAAGTACTTAATCTGGCAACGCTTCACGCAGCTGTCAAATGCACTGACAGCGCGTCAACTTCCTTTCCTTTTTTACGTATCGTACGAGATGGTAAGGCTAAAAATATAAATGCAATTTAAATACACTGCCATCGACGCGTAATACAAACAAAAATGCCGTGAAATATAAAATAAATTACGCTATAAACTGTACAATTGTTGAATATGTGAGCATTTGTGTGCAAGTGCGTGATTTTCAATAAGAAAAACTATGCGTTTTTGTTTGTTGTTGCAGTCGTTTGCTTGGGAGTAATGCTAAATGATAATTAATTGGTAATTGTCTGACATTTGTTTCTCTAGGCTCGTGGACCTAAGAAACATTTGAAGCGTTTAGCCGCACCCAAGGCATGGATGTTGGACAAATTGGGCGGTGTTTTCGCCCCACGTCCATCGACCGGTCCACACAAGCTGCGCGAGTCGCTGCCTCTGTTGATCTTCCTGAGAAACCGTCTCAAGTACGCTCTGAACGGCGCTGAGGTGACCAAAATTGTCATGCAGCGTCTGATCAAGGTTGACGGCAAGGTGCGCACTGATCCCACCTACCCCGCCGGCTTCATGGGTAAGTTGTAATACATATTCAGTTTCAATGTAAAGTGGAATAATGTTTGTTTATCGCTTAGATGTCATCACCATCGAGAAGACTGGTGAGTTCTTCCGTCTGGTCTACGATGTGAAGGGCCGTTTCACCATCCATCGCATCTCCGCCGAGGAGGCAAAGGTGAGTTAACATTCAATTAGGATAATCGTTCGATGGGCTACATCGAAGACCATTTAGTGTTTCTCCGTACGCCAATTGGTTCAAAATGAAGCCCAAAGCAATTTTTGATACGACGGTCTCTGATCTTGAGCATTCTCCAGCCGTTTCAGTAACTTTTACGTGCAATTACAAATTAACTAAACAGAAAATGAATGAATGAATGAATTTATGTGTATTTAACTGTAATTCTATGTTAATGCAATATTCATCTCTCTTTCTGCAGTACAAGCTGTGCAAGGTGCGCAAGACACAATTGGGCGCCAAGGGTGTGCCTTTCCTGGTTACACACGATGGCCGCACCATCCGCTATCCCGATCCTCTGATACATGCCAACGATACCGTGCAGGTTGACATTGCCACCGGCAAGATCACCGACTACATCAAGTTCGATTCGGGTATGTTCTGGTCATGAAATGTTACTTCCTTGTCTTGGCTGGTTCGAAGACCACAAAACGCTTTCCAACAAGTTGCGTGGTTCAAATACAAAGCCAAAAGCAATTTTTGATACGACGGTCTCTGATCTTGAGCATTCTCCAGCCATTTCAGTAACTTTTACGTGCAATTACAAAGTTCTTTAAACTATTTTTTATCATCGATAGACAATAATATACATCTTCTTCGCAGGCAACCTTTGCATGATCACTGGAGGTAGGAATTTGGGACGTGTCGGCTCTGTGGTTAACCGTGAGCGTCATCCCGGCTCCTTCGATATCGTGCACATTAAGGATTCGCAGGGCCATGTGTTTGCCACTCGTTTGACCAACGTCTTCATCATTGGCAAGGGCAACAAGCCTTACATCTCGCTGCCAAAGGGCAAGGGTGTTAAGCTGAGCATCTCGGAGGAGCGCGACAAGCGTTTGGCCGCCAAGACCCACTAAAAACCATTAAATGCCAGCTGGACAGAGCAGCAGCAGCGGATTTGGGGAGAAGAGTAAATAGGATTTTTACTTTTTAGCATAACTCTGTACGTTAAAGCTACGGAATTACAAAAACAACGTAAAGAAAAAGTATTTGTTGTCTTTTTAATGATGCATTGGAACATGTATGAAAAGATCACAATGTACATTAAACATATAACATTAACAAATTGAAACAAGCCGCCAACTCCGAAGTTTCTCATGAGAGGTATAAGCTATTGTTATCGATATGTGTTGTTTGTTGAGCTGGAGTCAAAAATAAGATGGGCCATAACAAACGTTTTCCCAGTCTCCACAGGAATGCATTAGAAGGGATTGAGAATATTTTAAGGAATGCCCATAATTTTAAAGAGATGGTAAATTTCGCGCGCTGGTTTCCTGCGGCTATCAAAGTTCAGTGCTGTCAAATGCTCAACGTGTTTATAGGGCTGCAAAGTATCGATAAATGACTAATCACTATCGGATTATCGATAGCAAGTTTTTGTCTTTGTGTGTAATGCAGTGAAAGGCTTGCGCACTGGGCAAAAATTAGTTAAAAAGAAACTGGAAATCAACTCGCCCACTGAAGTAAATCATAGGTAATTTATACTAATAATTGGAAGCCATATAGCTGCTGCTGTTGTCCACAGGCAAAAACAAGCACTAAGCTGTCGGTGTGTGTGCGTGTAGATGTTTGTGATTGTATGTGCTTACACACACATCTACATAGCAACACGCATTGAGAAACATATGTACATGCCCTCATATATATGGGGATATGTATGTTTGTAAGCCTGTTGGTCATATGTTAGCATGTCTGATAAACTCTGCTGAAGTGAATCATTTGTTTGGCTCCAGCTCTAGTTTGTTTGTTTGTGTAATGCGAAGCGCATTAGTTTGTAGATAGTTGCGGTAGCTAAACTCGAACACTCTACATTCGCAGACAGTCGCGTCATAGAACCCAACGAGCACGCACCACCCACAAATTATATTAAAAAAAAAAAAGAAAACAAGAGCGGAACACCAAAGACAGATTTTTGACCGACCCTTGAAGCCATCACACACTCTCACACACACATCGAACATCGATACTCGCACACACACACATACATAGTAAAGCAGTGAGCAGAGCCGAATTACTATGGCGCAGCCATTGAACAATCCATCGAGCAGCACGCATCGTGATTATGGTGCCATATCCAGTGCCACGCCCGAGGTCAGCTTTGCCGCTGGCTCCAATTCGGGTAATGCCGGCTTTAGTCCAACCGAGTTTGTGTCGCTCAGTGAGGATATTGGCCACAATATCACATCAATCAATACGAGCACCAAGCAGCTGGAGAAGCAGCTGAAGCTGATTGCCACCTCCAAGGATTTGTCTGCGCTGCTAGAGAAGATCCACAGCATTAATACCAAGACCAATGCCCGGGTACAGACGACCAGTCAGGATTTGGAACGGCTACAGGCGGTACTACGTCATGGCGATCGTCAGCAAAAGCTGCAGCTGGAGAAGCTAACAGACGAATTTCAGGATGTGCTCATGAAATATTCCAACCAGCAGAAGTGCATCTCGGAGACCACGCGACGGAGCTATCAAGTGGCCGCTCAGGCCGAACGAGAGGCTGACATGACCGCCAGAACGGAGCTTTTGCAGCAGCAGCGACAGGAGCAAGCCGGCCTGGAGAGGCAGCACGATATGCTCGTCGAGCGTCAGCGCCAAGTGGAACAAATCGAGTCGGATATACTCGATGTGAATGTTATTATGAACAAGCTGAGCACCTACGTAGCAGAGCAAGGAGATGCAGTGGGTGAGTAATTGTCCAAATTAAAAATCCCTGGTCAAAACAATGAATTTATTGATATCACGCTATTGATAAGGGGAAAACAAACCAGCATATCGATTGCCAAAATTTTTAATAGTTTCGATAACAAATTCAGGTATCGATTGCCGAAATTTAAATTTGCACCAATTCAAATTAAAAGTATGTTAAGTGATCGTTTTACCCTCATCATACCATAAAGTAAACGAAACTAATAATTTATATAAAAACTGATTTCCTTTCATACAGAAATATTAATAAAGATAACCTTTTCATAATACAGATACGTTGGAACAGCTCATGGATCGTACTGCCGCTAACGTGGAGGAGGGCCGTACTGAGCTTCAAAAGGCAGCAGCTAGTCGTAATAGCTACCGCCGTAAGATATTGATACTTTTAGTGATTGCTGTGATAATAGGATTAATTGTAACTGGCATTATAGTCAGTAAATTGAGTTAATTGTTTTATATACATGTATACACTCACACTTACACACACACACATACCCTTCTACATACATACACATAAATTAATTAAAAAGTTTTGTAAAACTATTTTTATAAAAAATAAGGCATTAATCACAAAGTGAGTAAAAGGCGCGCGCCAAGCGGGCAAAGACAAAACAAATACAAAACCGCAAAGCAAATTCAATAAAAATACGAGTTTAAATCCGAAACGCGTTATAGATCGTAGTTATGTGTATGAAACAAACAAAAATGAAAGAAAATTATAATTTAAAAAATATATAAATATATATGTGAAAGAAACCATTTAAAATTTAATGATAACACAATAACAAATTACAAAATATTCAACGCTTTTAAATGTTAAATTATTTCCTGTTAAACAAAAGCAAAAAACAAAAATGAAACCATAACAAAAATATCAAAACAATAATTTGCGTTTTGAATTTGTTTCCTCGTAGTTAAGCAAGTTAAGCAAATAATATATGTTGAGTAAACTCGGTTAATTGCTTTTCGGTCTATATGCTTAAGATATTAAACGATCAATTTATATAATCTGATTTGATTTTATGTACACATTCAATTAACCAAAGCTAATTAACTCGTTGTTGTCCGAATATAAATAAAAAATGGGAAAATTAAATAAAATAAATCTAAGTGTGGAGCAGTTTTATTTTAAATTCCGTAACAGCTGGCAAGTGCTAGAGTAATGTTAAATAACATAAGAAATCAGTTACTCAATTTTGCGTTCACATAAACGATAATTATCGTTGCACCGCCACAAACTATCGACCATCAGCTGTGAACGGCTTATCAATCCACGTGTTTAGTTTGTGAATTCATTTTTTAGTTTACATTGAATTTAATAATATTAAAATGCCACAAGGTAAATTTAAAAAGGCAAAGTTGCCTGCAGCTATACAGAACAAGAAAAAGCAGCAGAAACAGGCAGCTTTCACACGCAGATCAAGTGAGTAATTGATTTTGGCAACAGGCTAAATTGCTTTTGAGACTCAATTCCTCGTTATTGCTTATAGATGCTCCCATACAACCAAAGAAGGGCAAATTCAATGAGACGCAGAAAATCAAGGCTGTTATTTCCAAATCAGTTAACAAGAGTGTCGAAAGTGAACTGCGTTTGCGTGCACATGAAGGCTACATTCAGCTCAGCAAAGCCCAGGAAGCGGTTGCCAAACATCATGCGACGCAAGCCGCTGCAGCGGCTGCTGCTAGCACGGACGAATAGTACATGTAAATGATATTGGGTATGTTTCACTTTTGTCCTTTAATGTAATACTAAATGTTGAAAATATTTTTATTGCTAAAAAGTGTATAAAGGTCTCCATGATGTTCGTAACTCCAATCGGCTCCTCTACTAAATATTGTTAAAGCGCATCTAGTTGCATATTGAGTATACTAATTGATCAGACCATGTTGGTAATGTTGTGGAATGTACAACTCGATGATGTTCTCTGCGTCTGATAGATCATGTTGGAATGTCTGGGCTCACACGTATAAAATGTGTTTGATGTTCAATGTCCTTAATACGTGATTGAAGTTCGAAGCATTTCAAAGCTATATAAAAGGCTCTATTATGTTTGCTCGCCTCATCTCCAGGCCGCTCGCTTATTTATGATTATGTTGGAATGCTCTTAAGGCATATCAAATGAGCTCGGTGTTCTATGTACTTAGGAGATTATATTAGACTCCTTGGACCTTTCCAGATTAGCCATATATGACATTTAAAGACTTCATGCTCTATAAGCACAATTCTCTTTTTTAATAATTCTAAATGGATATCAAATATGAAAAAAAAAAAAAAAAATGGATGCATCATCCGAACAGCATTGGCAGCGCCGAGTGCTGTTGTAATTGCAGGCTGAGTGCAGTTCATTTGCATGCTGTTGAATATGCAAAGGACACTTCAATTCTCGCAGCATAAAACTAAAAACGTAAAACGCTTCGAAAAAAAGCACCCAACCGTGTATCCAAACATCGCACCGCCAGGTGGGTTAACACCTGGCCGTCTATCGCAGGCGAGGCGAGGCTAGCGAACGCTCATTTGCATGCGATTTGTGTAGATGTGGGGTGCGGAAGCGGGTGTGGGCGTGTGGGTGCGTGGAGGCAACAGAATCAAAGTGCAATACGAATCAGCATAGAAAAACAAAGGCAACAAGCAATTGACAGCGGATTTTTCGCGTTATTCTGCCATGCGGGGAGCGGGCTAATTAAAAGCGCATCAAAAGCGCCGAAATTTGCATAGCAAACGAAACGGAACGTTGCAAAAAATTAAATAAAAATTTTTAGTTTTCACATTTTTCAGTTGCCAATTTCACATTTCGCATTTCGCATTTTCCATTTGACATTTTTACTTTTCACTTTCCTCGTTTCTCTCTTGCCCCGCCTCCCTCGCTTTGTTCATGCCAAACTTTACTTTCTTATTTTTTGACGAGTCCGAGGAGGGCGGCAGCAACACGCCCAATAAATGTCAGCGCACAGCAAAACTTTGTTGGCCAAACTATTTTTATAATTAAACAAACACAAACTAATTGCGATAAGTAGCAAAAATGACTTGGCAATTTGTGAAACATTCCTTCTGCTGCCGCCTGCGGCCCATAAATTATCCAAATGCCAAAGTTGTCCGTGTTCCGAGTGCCATGAGTTTTTGGCATGTGCCCTGGGCTATAGACGAGCCCTTCTTTCCGGCTTTAATCTGAATTGAGTCAAGTCTGATTGGAGGTCGTCTATGTGAAGGCATCAATAAGATGTGTCGATAGCACTTTGATGATGATCTGATGTGCAAGATTTGCTAATATTCTCTAATTTTTCCTTCTCTTTCTTACAGCTGGACCGCCTATCTATACCGATGCCATTCGGATCGTCGCACCTTATCACTTATAGATTAAGTTCTTGTATATAAACTATTATTGTTTGCTGGAGCAAGTTTTGCTCTACACAAATAAACATTTTTATAACTCTAATTATAAGTCATAAAATTTTAAAATAAATATTATATTAAGACTATGTGAATAATACCATTAATTGGAATACAATCATATGAAATGTATATGCGTATGATTGTATATACTTAAACATACAAACATACATTTATATAAACATTAATACGAGGACTGTTTAGGGGATATTGCAACTTCTTTCAGTTTCCTTTAATTTATATATTTTTGTATATAATTTCTGTTGCTTACCTTTTGAACAGACCTCGCATATGTTTATATGTCTATTGGTCATATGTAAACAATTAAATTTTGCCGGCTTGCACTGTTTGTTTGGCTACACCTTTCGTCATTTTGCAACGCGAAGTGCATTCGATAGGTAGTTGGGTAGGTGAGCTAGCAAGAGAGCAAAGACATCGAGTACACTAATATATATAGAACGAATTATGGCGCAGACATTTGGCAATCCAGCGGGCAGCAGGCAAGGTGGCTTTGCTGCCATTTACAGTTCAGCCGGCTCCAGCTCCAGCGTTTCCGGCTTCAGTCGCTCGGAATTCACGTCCCTCTGCGATGCTATTGGTCAGAATATCACAGCGATCAACACCAGCAGCAAGCAGCTGGAGAAGCTGTGGAAACTAACTGGCAAGGCAAAGGATTTGCGTGCGCTGCAAGAGCAGATCCACAACATCAATAGCGAAGCCAATGAGCGGATAGAGAACACCAGTCGGGATGTGAAGCGGCTGCAGGTGGTGTTACGTCACGGCGATCGCCAGCAAAAGCTGCAGCTGGAGCGGATCAGAAATGACTTTCAGCATGTGCTCGAGAAATACTCCGCGCAGCAGAGGCGCAACTCGAAGGCCTCGCGACAGAGCTACAATGCGGCCATTGCCTCTCAGCGAAAGACTGCCAGCTCGGCCGAAACGGAGCTGCTGCAGCAGCAGCGACAGGAACAAGCGGAACTGGAGAGGGAGCACAACCTGCTCGTCGAGCGCCAGCGGCAAGTAGAACAGCTGGAGGCGGACGTAGTCGATGTGAATATCATTATGAAAGAGCTGAGCAGATTGATAGGCGAACAGGGCGACGTGGTGGGTGAGTAGCTTCTTATATTCGAAATCCCTATAGAAAATAGTGGATTTGCTTATTATTATTATGATTATTATTATTATTATTAT